GCCACTTGGTTGTTTATGATAATAACCATGAGGAATTGTTTAGCATTTATTACTGTTAATGTCTGTGAGTCAGTGTATGACCTGATGTCCAGTTACTCATATAGCCACTTGTTTGTTTATAACAATAACCATGAGGAATTGTTCAGCATTTATTACTGTTAATCTCTATGAGTCAGTATATGACTTTATGTCTAGTTACTTGTTTGTTTTTATTAATAACCATGTGGAATTGTTCCACATTTATTACTGTTAATGTCTGTGAGTCAGTGTATGACCTGATGTCCAGTTACCCATATAGCCACTTGTTTGTTTATACCAATAACCATGTGGAATTGTTCAGCATTTATACTGTTAATGTCTGTGAGTCAGTGTATGACCTTATGTCCAGTTACTCATATAGCCACTTGTTTGTTTTTACCAATAACCATGAGGAATTGTTCAGTATTTATACTGTGAACGTCTATGAGTCAGTGTATGACCTTATGTCAATATTCTCATATAGCCACGTGTTTGTTTATACCAATAACCATGTGGAATTGTTTCACATTTATTACTGTATATGTCTGTGAGTCAGTCTACGACCTGATGACCAGTTACTCATATCGCAACTTGTTTGTTTATACCAAAAACCATGAGGAATTGTTCAGCATTTATTACTGTTAATGTCGGTGAGTCAGTGTATGACCTAAGGTCCAGTTACTTATAAAGCCAATTGTTTGTTTTTACCAATAACCATGAAGAATTGTTAAGGATTCAATACTGTTAATGTCTGTAAGTCAGTGTATGACCTTATGTCCAGTTATTCATATAGCCAGTTGTTTGTTTATACCAATAACCATGATGAATTGTTCGACATTTATTACTGTCAATGTCTGTTAGTCAGTATATGATCTTTCTTCAGTTTCTCATATAGCCATTTGGTTGTTTATACCAATAACCATGATGAATTGTGAAAGATTGATGACTGTTAATGTCTGCAAGTCAGTATATGACCTTTCTTCAGTTTTTCATATAGCTACTTGTTTGTTAATACCAATAACCATGAGGAATTGTTCAGCATTTATTACTGTTTATCTCTATGAGTCAGTATATGACTTTATGTCCAGTTACTTGTTTGTTTTTATTAATAACCATGTGGAATTGTTCCACATTTATTACTGTTAATGTTCTTGAGTCAGTGTATGACCTGATGTCCAGCTACCCATATAGCCACTTGTTTGTTTATACCAATAACCATAAGGAATTGTTCAGCATTTATTACTGTTAATGTCTGTGAGTCAGTGTATGACCTTATGTCCAGTTACTTATATAGCCACTTGTTTGTTTATACCAAAAACCATGGGGAATTGTTCAGCATTTATACTGTTAATGTATGTGAGTCAGTGTATGACCTTATGTCCAGTTACTCATAGAGCCACTTGTTTGTTTTTACCAATAACCATGAAGAGTTGTTAAGGATTGATAACTGATAATGTCTGTAAGTCAGTGTATGACCTCATGTCCAGTTACTCATATAGCCACTTGTTTGTTTATACCAATAACCATGAGGAATTGTTCAGCATTTATTACTGTTAATGTCTGCAAGTCAGTATATGACCTTTCTTAAGTTTCTCTTATAGCCACTTGGTTGTTTATGATAATAACCATGAGGAATTGTTTAGCATTTATTACTGTTAATGTCTGTGAGTCAGTGTATGACCTGATGTCCAGTTACTCATATAGCCACTTGTTTGTTTATAACAATAACCATGAGGAATTGTTCAGCATTTATTACTGTTAATCTCTATGAGTCAGTATATGACTTTATGTCCAGTTACTTGTTTGTTTTTATTAATAACCATGTGAAATTGTTCCACATTTATTACTGTTAATGTCTGTGAGTCAATGTATGACCTGATGTCTAGTTACCCATATAGCCACTTGTTTGTTTATACCAATAACCATGTGGAATTGTTCAGCATTTATACTGTTAATGTCTGTGAGTCAGTGTATGACCTTATGTCCAGTTACTCATATAGCCACTTGTTTGTTTTTACCAATAACCATGAGGAATTGTTTAGTATTTATACTGTGAATGTCTATGAGTCAGTGTATGACCTTATGTCAATATTCTCATATAGCCACGTGTTTGTTTATACCAATAACCATGTGGAATTGTTTCACATTTATTACTGTATATGTCTGTGAGTCAGTCTACGACCTGATGACCAGTTACTCATATCGCAACTTGTTTGTTTATACCAAAAACCATGAGGAATTGTTCAGCATTTATTACTGTTAATGTCGGTGTGTCAGTGTATGACCTAAGGTCCAGTTACTTATAAAGCCAATTGTTTGTTTTTACCAATAACCATGAAGAATTGTTAAGGATTCAATACTGTTAATGTCTGTAAGTCAGTGTATGACCTTATTTCCAGTTATTCATATAGCCAGTTGTTTGTTTATACCAATAACCATGATGAATTGTTCAACATTTATTACTATCAATGTCTGTTAGTCAGTATATGATCTTTCTTCAGTTTCTCATATAGCCATTTGGTTGTTTATACCAATAACCATGATGAATTGTGAAAGATTGATGACTGTTAATGTCTGCAAGTCAGTATATGACCTTTCTTCAGTTTTTCATATAGCTACTTGTTTGTTAATACCAATAACCATGAGGAATTGTTCAGCATTTATTACTGTTTATCTCTATGAGTCAGTATATGACTTTATGTCCAGTTACTTGTTTGTTTTTATTAATAACCATGTGGAATTGTTCCACATTTATTACTGTTATTGTCCGTGAGTCAGTGTATGACCTGATGTCCAGCTACCCATATAGCCACTTGTTTGTTTATACCAATAACCATAAGGAATTGTTCAGCATTTATTACTGTTAATGTCTGTGAGTCAGTGTATGACCTTATGTCCAGTTACTTATATAGCTACTTGTTTGTTTATACCAAAAACCATGGGGAATTGTTCAGCATTTATACTGTTAATGTATGTGAGTCAGTGTATGACCTTATGTCCAGTTACTCATAGAGCCACTTGTTTGTTTTTACCAATAACCATGAAGAGTTGTTAAGGATTGATAACTGATAATGTCTGTAAGTCAGTGTATGACCTCATGTCCAGTTACTCATATAGCCACTTGTTTGTTTATACCAATAACCATGAGGAATTGTTCAGCATTTATTACTGTTAATGTCTGCAAGTCAGTATATGACCTTTCTTAAGTTTCTCTTATAGCCACTTGGTTGTTTATGATAATAACCATGAGGAATTGTTTAGCATTTATTACTGTTAATGTCTGTGGGTCAGTGTATGACCTGATGTCCAGTTACTCATATAGCCACTTGTTTGTTTATAACAATAACCATGAGGAATTGTTCAGCATTTATTACTGTTAATCTCTATGAGTCAGTATATGACTTTATGTCCAGTTACTTGTTTGTTTTTATTAATAACCATGTGAAATTGTTCCACATTTATTACTGTTAATGTCTGTGAGTCAATGTATGACCTGATGTCCAGTTACCCATATAGCCACTTGTTTGTTTATACCAATAACCATGTGGAATTGTTCAGCATTTATACTGTTAATGTCTGTGAGTCAGTGTATGACCTTATGTCCAGTTACTCATATAGCCACTTGTTTGTTTTTACCAATAACCATGAGGAATTGTTTAGTATTTATACTGTGAATGTCTATGAGTCAGTGTATGACCTTATGTCAATATTCTCATATAGCCACGTGTTTGTTTATACCAATAACCATGTGGAATTGTTTCACATTTATTACTGTATATGTCTGTGAGTCAGTCTACGACCTGATGACCAGTTACTCATATCGCAACTTGTTTGTTTATACCAAAAACCATGAGGAATTGTTCAGCATTTATTACTGTTAATGTCTGTGAGTCAGTGTATGACCTAAGGTCCAGTTACTTATAAAGCCAATTGTTTGTTTTTACCAATAACCATGAAGAATTGTTAAGGATTCAATACTGTTAATGTCTGTAAGTCAGTGTATGACCTTATGTCCAGTTATTCATATAGCCAGTTGTTTGTTTATACCAATAACCATGATGAATTGTTCAACATTTATTACTGTCTATGTCTGTTAGTCAGTATATGATCTTTCTTCAGTTTCTCATATAGCCATTTGGTTGTTTATACCAATAACCATGATGAATTGTGAAAGATTGATGACTGTTAATGTCTGCAAGTCAGTATATGACCTTTCTTCAGTTTTTCATATAGCCACTTGGTTGTGTATACCAATAACCATGAGGAATTGTTTAGCATTTATTACTGTTAATGTCTGTATGTGAGTGTATGATCTTATGTCCCGTTACTCATATAGCCACTTGTTTGTTCATACCAATCAAATCATGAGGAATTGTTCAGAATTAATGTCAGTGAGTCATTACATGAATATGACCTGATGTCTAGTTACTCATTTATTCACTTGTTTGTTTATGCATAAACCATGAGGAATTGTTCAGCATTTATTACTTGATGAGCTGTGCACAGGTGGGGTTTGAAAGGTCAAATTTCTTACTCTATGTCCTGTCCAATTTACCAGCCAGTGATAGTTCAAATTTCATCCCTTTTGAGTCCTATTACAGGACCTACCTTTTGTCTGTTAATTTGTTCTTGTCTTCAAAATGCATGAACTATTTGCCACTGAACATAAAGCAACCAACAATCAATTAATCTTAAGGTTAACAGAGGTAATGCCATCATCGATGTTATAATGCCTATAATTTTATGCTAAAATTATATCTTTGTTTGCAATATTATGTTAAGTCAATAATGCTAAAATTTTATCATTTTTTCTGCAAAGCTAAAATTTTATCATAATGGAAGCTAAAATTTTATATTAATTTATGGAAGCTAAAATTTTAGCTTTTGGTCTGAAAAGGAACCAGCTAAAATTTTAGCTCTCCTTTAAGTTACTTATTGATTCAAGCCAAACTTTTATCTTATGATTCTTTTTATTGCTTCAGGACTGATGAAGATTGTACAGCAGAATAGAAATGATTGATCATTTGGGATTATCTCTTGTCCTTGAAATATATTTAAACAAGTGCAGAGATATTTTTGCCAGAGCTTTTGTTCTTTTGCATGAATGTTCAGAAAGACGAAATATATATATATGAAAAAAGAAAAATTTGGTAAGTTTTTGAAAATTGATAAAATTATAACATTTTCAGCTAAAATTTTAGTTTTTTGCAATATTCTATAAAAAATCTACTCTTGAGAAAGTGAGACCGTCTCAAAATATAAAATCTACCTTTATTGTTAGTCTTGAAAGTCGTTTTCTGGTATTTCAGTCTAATAGACATAAAAACAAGTTTCTGCCTAAAACCACATTCTAAAGTTGAAGAATAGTAACTACAAAAACAAACGAAGATACATATATCATGCATTAGGAAAGGTCAAATGATACACATATTTTTTTCATGTTTAAAAGACATTATCAGGATGCTTGATACGTTGTCTGCTTTTATACAGTATTTCATGTAATTGCTTTTTCCAATAAATACATTTTTTTCAGAGATATTCAGCGAAAATTCTATGTAAATCAGAACTACGGAGTATGTGCTCATGATCAAGGGTGGATGTACGTCCTTGATAAAAGAAAGATGCTGTCCATATGAATGCATTGGCTCGATTTCTATGTTCCTTTATACAAAACACTTCACAGATAGAAACTGGACATGCAGAAAGTACTAAGGGGGTCATTAAGGATCTCGACATTAATACATTGTTTGCGAACGTTGTGCACTTAGTATACGGTAATATTTATGATTTTCCCGATTATTGTCAATATTTGAAGATTATAAAGGTTGCAGTAACCTATCTTCGGATAGTTGAGAACCCGAACTGATATGGTATAGGAAATATAATATTTAAATAACCTTTATCTTACTGATATACGAACAGGAAGATACTGGACCAACTAGGGGATTGATTGGTTGATAATTGGTTGTTTTTCGTCCAGCAGCAACAAATTTCAGGAAGGGCTTACAAATAAACGCCTTCTTTTACTGTTTTTTTTTTGTTAAAGCACTAACTAGAAATGTCTTAATTTACAAAGTATTCGTGAAATGATTTTTGCTATTTAATGGTTTTTAATCAGTGTGAAAACTCATCAAAGATACATGGCGTACATGTTTTTACTCAAGACGCGCGGTTCGTCTACACAAGACTCTACAGTTGCACCCGAATGAGAATAATTTGAAGGCAAAGTCAAACGCAAAGTTGAATTGCATTTAAAACCAAAAAAAAAAAAACAACGAAAAGAGTTTCTAAATACGACAAAGGCACTCGGGGGATTGAAAACCTTAGTACATTTCTGTTATTCGAATAATGTTAAACTTTATAAACAGATAATTTACAGAAAATGAACATTTCAATGATAAGTTGTCAACTCCAAATTCCTGACTATTGGGCTGGTGATAAAACCCATCAAAGATATCAGGCGTACAATTACTATTTTGTAGGCACATCCTTTTCGTGTTTTTAATTTATCTAAATTTGGTTATGTTATGGGATACTATATTAAATAAAATGAACGAGATAATTTATGAAAAAAAATGTGTTGTAGACATGGCACAGCCAGCGGATATGATGGTTATTTCAGTCCGTGCAGACTTATCAAGAGCTGATTAATAAGAACAACGTTTTGTTTTAAAAGAGTATGGCAACTGACCTGACATCACGCGATATATGGAACATTATGCTTTTTTTAAATTAGATATCAATAATTCAATTAGTTTTTATTGTAAACATATTTGTATAGACCGGTTAAAGTACCGGATCTGGCTCCTTTTAAGATAAATCTGATTTTACCTGAATTATGATAGTGTTAACAAATTTCCAATTAAAAACTTGCTACACACTATGTGTGTTTAGTTTCAATGTATTTAAATGTAACTTATGTGATCAAGCCCATGTAACTTCATTTTGTCTGGTTCGAAAGAATAAAAAAGCATGAAATACGAATGGATGATACAAAAACTTACCCAAGGAAAAACAACAAATAATTGGCAAGAGAACAGAAAAAAAAAGGAAATAAATGATAGCTCACACAAAAATATACAGAAAATATAAAAAAGTGTTATAGGTTTCATAATGGGTAAAAATGTGAAATAAACTGAATGTCAGGTTGTCTGCATATTGATATTATAAAAGATCAGCTGCGAGATACAATTTGATCCTTTATGTCGAGTGAGCAGCAAATTTTTAAAATATCAATATGTAGTCAACCAGATAACCGAATTATCGGTTTGTATTTGTAGATTTTGCATGATAAAATAAGTGTTTTCTTTGTTTCATCTGCAAACCGGAAGGTAACTTGATAAATTTTGGGCAATCTTACTACGTCTGTGCATTCCTTATAGCGTCGGTGATATGTTCGGGTCAAATTAATCAGGCCGGGTCAACGTACTTCACGCCACAAAGCCGTGATAGCAATTGTATTCATAGCTGCGTAGAGTGATACGGACATTGGACGATCGATCAAGCTTTCTATCAGCCAGAGTTATTACATTTCATTTCAATAATACACGAGCCTTTAGAAGGTTTATTGTTGTTATTTAAAGTTAATAAAGAAATGTTATTTATTTGTTGCTTTGGAGGAGAATTATATGAAAATAAGAAGAGATGTGTTATGACAACTATCAACCAGAGTCAAAATGATGTGTGTATAAGCATCAATAAGTCAACAATGCGACCTTGAACAATGACCAAATATAAACCTATGTCAGATAAAATACAACTCGACATGAGCTTATATTACAGAAATCAAACGAAAACACTAACGGCATGATTTATGAACAAACAATAAAACAGAACATGACAGACAGCTACTAACGAGAACCACTGAAGTACAGGCTCACGAATTATAGACTGATGTAAAATGTAGCGAGGTAAAATATACTGCGAGAGCTCAGTCTTTCTTCTTATCTGTGACCATGGTGTTATAGCAAAACAGTTGAATTTGAAGGTTAAAAAACCATTAACATTAAAGACAAAAGACACGTAACTACTCCAATATTACTGAAGTGACAGTGAGGCAATTATAATTAATGAATAAATCATGTCCTAACATGTTAAAGAATCGACCAGTGCACAAACGAATTAATGAAAAGTATTACACTGTCTTTGATATTTGAAAGTTATCATTGACCTAACGAATAGCCAATGGAAATTTGGAAATTTTGTATCATACTGCGGAGAAGAGCTATTAAATTAACATATCCATCGTATTACTTGTTCATACCAAACTCTGTTCAATGTAACACAAGGAATACATAATAATGTAGAAAATAAATAATTGCCACATCCATAAGAAAAACTATGATATAGATATGACTTATAGTCTTCTGGAAGGGAACGTAATTCCTGCTGTTTGTAGTATAAACCCAGTGATATATATTCACATTGACAAATAATATCTAACTTCATTTCTAATTCCGGAGCAATGTCAGAGCATTGTCAGCTCAGTGTAAATGTTGTGTGGTCAGTTATTCGGTACCTGTTTTTTACTACATATACAAATGTATAAATGTACATGAATGCTTTAGATGGGAAAAATAATTCAATTGCTAAACGCATCATCGGCTGCTTTACCAGTTGTTAACGATTTTGTCTCTTCTATATTCGATGAGGTTATACGTTTCCATACGTTTTTAAATTTTATATATGTACGCGTCATTTTTCTGTTCTGACATTCAAAGGCATGCTGCTTGATGCTTTATAACGAGCATTGATCCGTTTAAAACTTGTAATGCTGAGGTACATTTTGATTTTTTGCAACTTTGTAACACATATACTTAGTAATTATTAGGTTAAAAGCAATGATTTTCAATTTGCCTATCTACTTTCCTTTTCATTTACATACTTATATTTGACTAATAAAAACACTGTGTGTCGGAAATTTAATCGGATTTTGATCACATAATATGAATATGAATGAATATCTTATTGGCATTCATGCAATGTCTTCATAATTATATGTCTACGTGTTGAAACTTGTTTGAAAAATGTGATTCATCGAAAAGAACTATCAATCCACCGTTAAACATCAATCTCAAAAGGGAATAATCTTTCTAAATTCCTCTATAAGAAAGAATAGATGATATAATTGGATGTGCTAATTTGACAAATATCTATTAAAAATGCCTATAACTCGAGATCACGAGACGACGTTCGACAATTAGCAGAAAACACTTATCCCATCGGAAGATTGTCGAACCAAAATTCATTCAGTTTAGTCAGCTATCAATAGTCCTGAATTAAAAAAAAAGTGAAGTAATGTCAAGATTTAAATTTCGGATTTGATAGACACTTAGTATGCATTGTAATCGCAAATAACCTTCAATCAAATTCTATTACAAGCAACTTTTTTTTTAGTTTGGTTAACGACTGCAATTCTATTAAATTGTTTTATCGACATATTAATTTTGTTTGCCATAAAGTAGTGTGCTCCTCTTGGAATTATGAATATTTTTTGACACTTCGCAACTTCATATTTAAAAGTTTGCAAAATCATTAACAACAGCTATATTGACACCTTTACATGAAATATGTGCAAAACTGCAAGAAAATGTATAAGCTTAACCTTCGGAAAGACACCAAAACCACATCTACGATCTATTTTTTTTTAAATCTACAACAGGGAAAGATGGATATTGTGAATTACACGTAAAATCACAAATACAGTTTTGGTGTCGTTAATTTGAATTTTGACAAAAGTATAAGTGGATTAGACCTAAAGGAAAGACATATAAATTCACGTCACAGTACTGTGACAAATGGAGAACGAAAATCATGAACAATTGAAGACAGTGCTTTATTGAGTGACCAACAACTACTAAAAATGGACTAATGAGGATAGAAACTTACAAAAAATCATATTTTTGTTTTATGGGATTTAATGTAATTTTATCGCATTGTATTCATATTTTATGAAAAAGACGCAAATGTTCAAAATTTGCAAGGATTCCGCGGAACCCAGCGTCTCGCCTACTTTTGCTGTTAATTGCAGGCTCAACAAAACCGAGGGAAAAAATTAATAAAAATATTCCTCTCAATACTATCTTTTGATTGTAAGAAGCTTCTGTCCAAGTTTGGTTAAAATCCAGAATAGTTTATGAATCTAATAAAAGTTTTAAAAACTTTAACTCCAGACTGTATGTAATGTTATCTGGAAGAAAAACTTAGTCCATTTATAAGTAAAATACGAAAAAACCTGAAATTTTTTTACAAAATTTACTTCTGAATACTATCTTATGATCATAAACAAGCTTCTGTCCAAGTTTGGTAGAAAACCAGGTTAGTTTATGAAAGATATTAAAATTTCAAAAACTTCAACCACAGAGTAAATATTTGTGGACGCCGCCGACGACGACGATGACGACGATGACGACGACGACGACGCCGACGACGGAATGTATGATCGCTATGTCTCGCTTTTTCGACAAAAGTCGAAGGCTTGACAAAAATGAAACAGATGAATTCAGGCAATAGTCAAATTATCAAACTGAAATCAACCTTGAGATTAACCTTTGGAAAAGTACCAAACCGCATCTACGATTGGTTTTTACAATATATAACAGGAAAATATGAATATTGTGAATTACACGTTCAAACAAATACAGTTTTAGCGTCGTTGTTATACTGTTCTAGTGATAAACTGGAATTTTATTGAATGTAAGTAAACATTTAAACAATTTTTAAACGTTAAATAAGATATAGTTATAAACAAGATTATCGATATCAATTAAAAAGTGTATTTACAAATCATATGCGCAATAAAAACAGTCACTTTAATGTACGTCAACTACTTCGAACAATATTTGTTGTCATTTAGATTTATTACTTTATATAACGCAAACAAATAACTAAAACAGATCACAAAAAAAAAAATGTCGGCAAAAAGTTCTATAGAGCTTATGTTTGTAATGTTTCATATAACCCTACCTAATATAATATGTTCTATACTATTTTATTCTAATAACAATATTCTTACGTTTTATTTGTTAATAATGTAATTTATTTTGAAAATATGCTTATAAATGCATAATGTAGCTATTTTAATAATATTTTTTTTCATGATATAGTATGAAACCGAATTCTGAAATGACCATGTGTATCTTAGTTCTGGTTTTGCTTGTTGTTCAAGAAAGTGTCAGCACAACAGAAGGTAAGAACTATATACATGTTAGTGCTGGTAGTTTTATGCAGCATTTAAAAAGTAAAATCACAAAAATACTGAACTCCGAGGAAAATTCAAAATGGAAAGTCCCTAATCAAACACATCAAACGAATTGATAACAAATGTCATATTCCTGACTTGGTACAGGCATTTTGTAATGTACACAATGGTTGATTAAACCTGGTTTTATAACTAGCTAAACGTCTCACTTGTATGAAAGTAGCATCAAATTCCGTTATATTGACAACGATGTGCGAACAAAACAAACACACACAGTTGATAACAATGTCAAAAAAAGAGGAACAGCAGTCAACATTGTGTTATAATCTTCATCACTACGAAAACAAACAAATATGTAACAAAGAAGCACAAAAAGGCATACAGATAAAGCATAATGTATTCAAAAATGAAAGACAAGAATACAAAAATGTACAATACCACAAGAACATAATTACGGGATGTATAAGTACAGAGCCAAGTCATATGTAATAAAGAAAGTTAACACAAAATGGCATATAAACAAAGCACATAAGCAAAAATGAAAGACAAGAATGCACAACTTGTCATAGAACAATAACACAATGACGGGGTGTATAAGTAATAAGAATAACACATTGATGGATAAATAAGTTTAGAGTCACGTCTAAAGGATATCACAAAAAAAAAAAAAAAAAAAAAGAACAGACTAAACAGTAAAAGTAATAATATTTAGGACAAATAAAAGAATAATATAACACGTTATTAAGACGATAAACAACATCTTTTTTTTTTATTAAAGGCACATTACTATAGAAATGTCCTTCTTAAACATTTATATCATACGATATTTTATCTGACATGAAGTGTGAAATAAAAACTTTTACATTTTAGTTTGGTTTCCTGTGTTTATAGCATTTTCCGGAAATGGAAAGCCCGTTCTTGAAGCATGGAACAACCA